ATCCATGAACCCACTGGGAGGAGGGGGGGCCCTTCTCTCCAACAGGTCCATGTCTCACCTGCCATTAGTTGAGGAGCAGTGATGGTGACAACAAGCAGCCACAATGGTGTTTTTAAGTCTTGTCCTTGTTGCTGTTAATTTAGTTATAGCCCTCTGTAAAAGTAATGGTGATAGTAAATGATCTAAGTAGATTTAACAGCAAACTGCATTTGTACTTATAGCAAAATACGTTCATATAGAGCTTTAACTTCAGAATCACATAGCTAGTACATAAGAGATATGTGAAGAAGAGAAAACAAACAACAACAAAAACAATATACAGGTTATGCATCACCCTATATACACTATATACATATATATTATTAAGTTTTTTATTTTATTTTTTTTTCACTTCTGCATAGCTACATGAGCTCAGTATGGCCAAGTAGATAAACAGTAATACTTCATTTTTAGTTTGTCGGTTACAGTAATACATCATAAATAGATTACTCTGCAGTTATTTCTATTTCCACACTCAGTGATATTCCTCCGTCCTGTACTTGGACAATATGAGTTGTTTATACTTTGATTTGAATTGATATATGGATGAGCACCGCTTGAGTTGGGCTCCCAGTTTATTCCAGAGCTTGACACCACACACAGACACACACATACTTTTCCTCGTGGAACGAATGGCTGGTACGTTAAGTTGACCACATCCCCTTAAATTGTAACAGTCATCTCTTTTTATGAATAGTTTTTGAATATTTGCTGGTAATTGAGCCTGGTTAGCTTTATATACTAACTGTACAGAATAAAAATCTATTAAATCCATGAGTTTAAACATGTTACTTTGTAAAAACAATACGTTTGTGTGTTCGAGGTAACCAGCTTTATGAATAGTTCTGATTGCTCGTTTTTGGAGTATTACAAGGGGATGGAGTGAACTTTTATAATTATTACCCCAGACCTCGATTCCATAAGTTAAGAATGACAGTATTAGACTGGAATACAATATATACAGTGCATTATTATTAAGGATGTACTTAGCTTTGTTTATAATCGCAATGTTTTTTGATATCTTTCTCTGTATGTGTCCAATGTGTGGTTTCCAGCTCAGTTTGTTGTCTATTATGATTCCCAAAAATGTTATTTCTGTTACTTTTTCTATTTTAGTACCATTTATACTTATCAATAATTCTGGACATTCCTTGTAATTGCCAAACATGATCATTTTTGTTTTGCTTAGGTTGAGTGATAATTTGTTTAAATCCAGCCATGTTTTAAGTTTAGCGAGTTCCTGATTTACATCCTTTATAAGACTATTATAGTTATCGTTAGAATAAAATATGTTGGTATCATCAGCAAATAACACCATTTTTAATAATTCTGATACTTTAAATATATCATTGATATATAGATTGAAAAGTAGAGGTGCCAGTATAGACCCTTGAGGCAGTCCACAAACAATGCTCATACATTTTGATTCAAAGTCCCTTAACAAATTGTTGTCTTTCCTCTAAATAGCTTTTAATCCAGTTCCCAGCAACTCCCCGAATACCATACTTTTCTAATTTTTGAGCAAGGATGGAGTGATTGATAGTATCGAATGCTTTCTTTAGATTTATAAAAATCCGTGTATCATTCGTTCTTTTGATTTTCTAAATAAAACCAACTTTGAAAAAACGAATAAAGAGGGATGTTTTTGATTCTCAATATTTGAATTTAATGCAAAATTGAAATATCAGTTTGTTTTTTTGTTTTCTGTGGATCCAATTAAAACGAAAATGCAGTAAACCAATAATGATCGTCTAAATTACATTTTGCGATTTTCCTTTGAAACACAAACGTCCCCCGGAAGTGATTCGAAAGTGCGCGTTTGTCACGAGACCAGGAAGTGTCGCCTCCAGGTACTTGGATCGCACCTTGTTAGCGCTGGCTGTAGGAGAAATGTCTCCTAAAACTCTCCTCAACATCAGTCAGATTACCAGCTTTTTCGTTCGCTGCTGCAGAGACCATCGCAGATGAGAATTCTCAGATTCACGAGAGAAGGGGTTCTTCGATGAAAAATATATACACAAGTGTCAAGGTAAGACATAACTTAGCAACTAGCGCTAACAGCTAAGTTAGCGTTAGCTACAACACATTTAGCTTAAGCACATACATGAAACACTTACACATGTAACAAATGCACCTAATGTGGGTGCTTTATTATTATAAATGTATGTTATAGACTTTCATATTATATAAGAACATGATATGTTTGTGTATTGGTGAAAGTAATCATGCTAAATTTTAGTAAATAAAAGATGATGCTAGATGTACCTTAACCATTCAATTGTGCTTTGTTTCTGCTTTCAAACTTCCAGTTTGTAACAGTCAAAGCCGCTGGGCTCATGTTCAGTTTGAGTTCCTGTCCTGATAGAAGACTAGCAGAGCATCTTTCTGTTTGGTGGTTACTATTTCTCTTCTGCTGACTTTATAACATAGTGAAGTTATAACAAGTAATAATTATATGTCTGTTCTAAACCCACTTTTCTTTTTTAGATCTCTCTGGGTGTGCAGCAGGTAAATGTTTCAGACTTCACACTACTCCCAGCCTTGGCCTGTACCAGTGATCTGCAAAGATGGATGTGTTTATGTCAATGCAATAAAATTAATAATAACTGATCTACAAATCTCCTTTTTGTTCCTTTGCATTTTAAACTTTCCACTCGTGTTTATCATTGTAAATTTATGTTACAAAATTAGAATCATTGCATGAAAAAGCACGTACTCATCAGTGTACATTATGTTCTGTCACATTTGAAAGTGTAAAAACTGTTCTTAAATCCAGTTGTCCTGGTCTTAATGGGCATTACACACGCAGTGACCTCACAGATAGAGATGTAAACTGTGTGGTCAATCTAACATGCTGGTTAGGAAGTCTAATGTGCTCTGTGAATGTATAAACCTCTATGTTCCAGTCTTTTTGTGCTCCTTTATTCACAAACCAACTATGGCGGAGCTACAAGCAGTCAGTCTGCAGAGGTTAACAGTTTCCTATGACTCAGTGAGGATGCTGCTGAAGATCCCAGACACAGTCGTCCAGTCAGATGTTTGCCGAGTGCAGTGTGCGCTCCTTTCCTGCGTCACTGTTACTATCAGTCATGTGTAGAGTCATGATGGTACCTAATAGTATTGTACAGTCCCTGGTTTGCCCTTACATTAGCTCAGTCAGGTTCACTTCTAAACTTTGGAGTCACTGGTTTCTTTGTGTGTGTGACTTGCTGTAAATATGTGATTATGTGTCTTTTTTAACACAGCTTTTTTTTTGTATTGTTCTTTCATTCTTAGCTCTGGATCCTGTGCTTGCATGTAAGTCCTTAGTAAAGTCTAAATAAAATTGGACCCATGTTGCTGCTGAAAGGAAGTCTGAGGTGTAAGTTGCTCTGTAAAGGTACATTCAAATACACAACTAGTCATTTTACAGTCTTGTTTAGTTAAGAATGTCATTTCCTAATTCATAAATCTATTGATACATAATCCACTAATAGTTTAGTATTTGTTTTAACGGGTTTTCCATTGCGATTCAACACAATTTAGAAAAAAAATGTACAGAATTGTGTCCAAGTGTTTTAATTTGGGAACAAACTAATCAAAAATATTTACACTGGAACAGACACACAGAAGATTTACATAAATGATGAATTTAGTCTTTGGCCTTAATCATTTCCCAAAACACAACATGCTGTGGTTTCTGAGCCTCGGGAGACAGAATCCCTCTTGAATGTTGCAATAAAATTATTCCAGGAAAAAGAGATGGAGCAGCAATAGTTTTAAGGCGGCTGATATGTAAAAAAAAATATATATGTACAGTATATACTGGGCAGGAACATGATCCATGTTTAATAATGAATACATTTACTCCTACCTTTCTGTGAGCCCTATACGATGTAATAACGCCACTTCAAAAAGGTTGCTTTCGTGATTAACCACTGTATCCAAAAGAAGGGACATGACTCAGCTGATGACTTGACATTTGGACAAACCTAGTCGGTGTAATGTGGTTGATATTTCTGCATGAGTTTTAATGTTTTAGAAGCATTCTATCGCTGTATCTGCAAAGTCTTCCAACGCACCCATCATTTAGTTCATCTCCACCGCTACTCCACTGTTTACCTGCGGGGTGCGCACTTGCGAATCACTTCCTTTCTTGTGTTTCAAATGGAAATCGCAAAAAGTAATTTAGACGATCATTATTGGTTTACTGCATTTTCGTTTTAATTGGATCCACAAAAAACCTAAAACAAACTGATATTTCAATTTTGCATTAAATTCAAATATTGAGAATCAAAAACATCCCTCGTTATTCGTTTTTTCAATGTTGGTTTTATTTAGAAAATCAAAAGAACGAATGATACACGGATTTATAAAGATTCCAACAGTATGTTTTTTATTGTCTAAAGCACTGGTGATTTCTTCCACAGCGTCAATAATAGCCATAGTGGTTGATCTTTTGGGTCTAAATTCGTATTGCCCTTCATCAATTAGCTCATGCTTCGAGATAAATTTTTCCAACCTGCTGTAAAACGTTTTCTCCAATATTTTTGAAAACTGCGGAAGAAGAGAGACTGGTCTGTAATTTGTGAATATGTGTTTACTCCCATTTTTGAATAGAGGTAACACTTTGGCTATTTTCATTTTGTCCGGAAAAGTACCAGTTTGAAGTGATACATTACATATGTGAGTTAAAGGTTTCAGAATATTGTCAATTATTCTTTTTATTAATCTCATATTTATGTCCAAGCAGTCCATAGAAGATTTATTTTCACATTTATTCACAATAGACTTAATTTCAGCCTCACTCACGTCAGCGAGGAAGATGGTTTGCGAGTTCCTTACAATAGTTGAATCCGCCCTTTTGTTATTAATAGTTCATGGGTTAAAGCAAAAAAAAATTATCTGACTGAAAATTTTTCCGAGTATACATTTTCACAAAACGTGGTGCAGCACGGGGCACAGTGTTTTCCTGTTACACAATGCACAGTAAATGTACTATGGTACAGTTTGACTAAAGTAGAAAATTCCAAACACCCAAAATGAAACATTGTGAAACATGAGCAGTAAGAAGGGGATGACATTATGTGGGGGGGCTGGGGGTCCCCCCGAGAATTTTTTAGTGTATTCTGAGGAATTTTAATGGGTATAAAGCCCTCTGGAGCAAGTACAACTCATGATACTACAATCTGTATTTGTTGGTATAAAACAATTAAAGAACACTCTCTTCATAAAGTAAAAAAAACAGCATTTATTTTAATTTTAGAATTAGGAAACCTGTTAAACAACAGATAAAGAACACCAACAGAAGTAATAAGATAACAAAGTGCATTTTAGGCAAATGTTTCTATCATACTTTTACTTTTTTGCTTTTTAACACTAAAGCCAAAAGCTTCAAGCACGTTCACCCCAGATGCACGCTTCTGTTTTTTTCCAGAGGTGCATGCTAGCTGAGTAGAATTGGAGGCACTGGTGAGATGAGCTGAACAAGATGGAGAGGTGAAGGCGCTGGCTGGAGCACTCTGCAAAAAATAAAATAATCTTAAGTAATATATATATATATATTAAGCAAAATAAAATTGTATCCCGTTTTTAAATGCAAAAAACAAAAAATATAGGTAATCAGGTATTCTAATTTCAAGACAATTAACTAACATTTTGCAGTGCAGTGGAGCTATAGGTGGAGGCTCTAGTTGGAGCTGTGGAGCCAGTGGTGGAGGTTCTGGCTGGAGCTGAGGAGCTACAGATTGAAGTTCTAGTTGGAGCAGTGGAGCCAGTGGTGGAGGCTCTGGCTGGAGCTGTGGAGCTACAGGTGGAGGCTCTAGTTGGAGCTGTGGAGCTACAAGTGGAGGCTCTGGTTGGAGCTGTGGAGCTACAGATGGAGGCTCTGGTTGGAGCTGTGGAGCCAGTAGTCGAGGTTTTGGCTGGAGCTGTGGAGCTACAGGTGGAGGCTCTGGTTGGAGCTGTGGAGCCAGTAGTTGAGGTTTTGGCTGGAGCTGTGGAGCTACAGGTGGAGGCTCTGGTTGGAGCTGTGGAGCCAGTAGTCGATGTTTTGGCTGGAGCTGAGGAGCTACAGGTGGAGGCTCTGGTTGGAGCTGTGGAGCTACAGATGGAGGCTCTGGTTGGAGCTGTGGAGCCAGTAGTCGAGGTTTTGGCTGGAGCTGTGGAGCTACAGGTGGAGGCTCTAGTTGGAGCTGTGGAGCTACAGGTGGAGGCTCTAGTTGGAGCTGTGGAGCTACAGGTGGAGGCTCTAGTTGGAGCTGTGGAGCTACAGGTGGAGGCTCTGGTTAGAGCTGTGGAGCTACAGGTGGAGGCTCTAGTTGGAGCTGTGGAGCTACAGGTGGAGGCTCTAGTTGGAGCTGTGGAGCTACAGGTGGAGGCTCTGGTTGGAGCTGTGGAGCTACAGGTGGAGGCTCTAGTTGGAGCTGTGGAGCTACAGGTGGAGGCTCTGGTTGGAGCTGTGGAGCTACAGGTGGAGGCTCTGGTTGGAGCTGTGGAGCTACAGGTGGAGGCTCTGGTTGGAGCTGTGGAGCTACAGGTGGAGGCTCTAGTTGGAGCTGTGGAGCTACAGGTGGAGGCTCTGGTTGGAGCTGTGGAGCTACAGGTGGAGGCTCTGGTTGGAGCTGTGGAGCTACAGGTGGAGGCTCTGGTTGGAGCTGTGGAGCTACAGGTGGAGGCTCTGGTTGGAGCTGTGGAGCTACAAGTGGAGTTCCCAAATGGAGTGAAAAGGGCCTTAGCTGCGTTTGATGCCATGTGCACTGTGTCACCACTGATGTCAAGGAGAGCAGGATTTTCTTTTCGGATCAGTGTTTCGACTCCAGATTTTTTTCCTCTCATTACATTACAATTGTCTAGCAGTACTGAAACAGCATGGTCCCACCTCAAGCTGTATGTGTCAAGAATGTCAGACAAAATATTTGTAAGTGTTTTTGAGTCTGCTACATTGGCCTTTCTTGAGGCGAGATGAAGGGTTAAAACTTTACCACTTTCTTCATCAAAATACCTGATGAGGACATTGAGGATTCGATCCACATTAGCATTTGTAGCCTCATCAATATTCAATGAGAAATGGATTCCCTGCAGTTTGGTTGATAGTTCAGATTTGTAGTGCGCAGCCATGCCATGTGTGCAAAGGTAAGAGGCGTGGGAATTAGATATGGACAGTCTTGAGAGTGCGCTCCTATCAATTGCGCACACTTTGATTAGCTCCACAAGAGGCTGTGACATGGTGAACGAAAGATCATGTTCGGCAATGAAAGCGCACACCCGCACTTTCAGGTCGCAGACCCGGTCAGACATTGACGCCCGTGCGTTTGTTGTTGTCGCTGAGGCTCCGGGCAGGCATGAGGTATGTTGCAGAGATCGCACTGCAGCCTTATGAGCCGCATCTGACTGATGGCGTGTCAGGACTTTTTTGCCATTACTGCCATACATAATCTTCTTATGGCAAACTACGCACATGCACGCACCTGTAGTTTTTTGCACCACGATCGATGGGGCAAGCCATTGTCACCGTTCTCATTTAGCCATGCCCATCTCCACCTATTTTTGACACCTCTGTCGATATTACCCACTTCTGCACCTTCCTCAATAAACAACGCGTCTATCATTATGTCGCGTAATAATGTTAGCTAGGTCAATTTTAGCATCTGCCGTCCCCTCCCACCTGTCAATTTTAGGCGTTTATTGGAAGATCATGTCACGTTACTATCAAGACGTTCATAGACCTATAGCATAATTGAAAGCATTAATAAAATAAACGCATCAATTGTTTTGCACACAAAGCTACGTTATGGCCAACGAATGTATCAGTTTAAGCATTTTTGCTTTGCGTAACTTTTCAAACCACCCATTCTCGCAGGACACCCATTAATTGTGTATTTATTTTCATCTCAATTAACATCACAAAAACACAAATAAACGGTGTCACCGTACCTGCTCCACATCCTGCAGCCCGGTTTGTGTTACCACGAAGAAAGGAGCAAAGCGGGCGCGAGTTCTCCTCGGCCCCGTGTTCACAGCTGTGTGAAGCTGGCCCCCCATGAAACGTATTATTAAAAATAAAAAGCCAATCGTTTCAGCATGATGAGGGGCCAGGTTCACGGGGGTCGTGTTCACATGCAGGCAGCATTTTCTTTTTCTTTTTTCAAAACAATTCATCGACGGATTTTTTTCTCTGACTTTAGCAATCGACGGAATTCCGTCGGGTAGACGGAGAACTTTAATCCATGTAATAGTTGGTGGGATTTGAGCCGCTAATTCAGGTCCAACATTTATAAAGAAATCATTGAATTTATTGACAGTATTCTTCAGATCAAAGTTTTCAGTGTCATTATCTATAAAATAGTCAGGATATGAGTTGATAGTGTAATTGTCTCTTAACAATTTATTCAGTATACTCCAGATTCCTTTAATATTGCTTTTGTTTTCATTTAGTTTATTTTCGTAGTCTAATTTCTAGCCATTTCGTACAATGGTTGTTAGTTTGTTCTTGTATACTTTATACCGTTCCTCAGATTGTTGTGTTCTTTGGTTCATATATTGTTTATACAAGTAGTTTTTCTTTTTACATGCATTAAGTAGTCCTTGTGTTAGCCATGGACACTTTAGTATTCTTTTCTCTTTTTTATATTGACGCGTAGGGCAGTGTTTGTTATATAAGGAACAAAATATTTCCAGGTATGAATTATAGGCTCTGTTCGCATCATTCTCCACCAGCACATTGGTCCAATCCTAGTTAGCTAGATCATAGTTAAGAGCATTAATAGACTTCTCTGTTAGTACCCTTTTATATATTTTTTTTGGAGATTCACAGATTTGTTCATAATTGTCATTGAACAATGCAAATATAGGAAGATGATCAGTTATGTCAGATATCATGAGACCGCTAACTTTGGTTTGTTCCATAGCGTTTGTAAAGATATTGTCAATGAGTGTAGCACTATGCGAGGTAATTCTACTAGGTCTGGAGATAGATGGGAAGAGGCTCATACTATACATAGCATTTACAAATTCATCAGTAGCATGATGGTTGGTTGGATTCATCAGATCAATATTATAATCTCCACAAATAAATAATGTCTTATTTACAGTAGAGAATGTTCTCTCCATCCATTCCGTAAATAAATCAATGCTTGACCCCGGTGATCGATATTTACAACTAATTATAATATTTTTTTTCCTTTCACAGTTTATTTCAATTGTAACACATTCCAGTAGGTTATCAACTGATACTGACATTTTTTCAATCATTTTAAATTGTATTTGATTGCTTACATAAATAGCCACCCCGCCACCAGCTTTATTTTTTCTGTTCACATAATTTAAGTCGTAACCTTCCAATTCAAAATGATCAATGCATCTTCTTTCGTTAAACCATGTTTCTGAAATTGCTACTAGACTAAACGGAGAAGTGAATTGTTGCAAATACTCTTTGATACTACTGAAGTTAGTGTACATGCTTCTGCTATTAAAGTGAATTATTGATAGTTTTCCTTTGATGTTTACAGCATTGAAATCATTTTCCGAATAGTAGCGGCAATCAATGATAGTATCTGACAAAAACATAGTATCAGGATCTAGGTTGTTCTCAGGGTCATAATCACTGTATTCAGTGTCCTCTTGAGGATTGTTGTGAATGGATGTCATTGTATTCATGTAAAGTGATTTATTGTTACCTCTGAGATGTCCTTCCTGATTCAGTCATATTTGGCGAGCTCCTCCATGCTTCTGACAACCAGCACCTTTGCTTCCTCCGGTGGACCGTTTAGCTTGATGAAAATTTTACAGTTTCTCACCCACGTGCTCTGGATTTTTTCCTGCTTTCTCAGAAACCTGGCTTTGCGTGCCGTTTCCCCGTTTGGAAAAATCAGTTGCCCACCATTCACCAAAACATACGGTCAAAAACGCGGAAATAAACAATAACAGCAATCCAGAGTGTCCGTGTGGCATTAGCATTAATTAAATTAATTGTTAATATAATTAAAATAATTAAATGGAGCTCCAACTGGTATTAAATCTAAAGTTTTTGAGAAATGTTTGCATTGCTTGTTAATTTTTGCTGCATAATTTGATCAAATATGTAAAACATGTCCGTAGCACGTTAAACTGTGGTGCCATTGTATTAATATACAATTATTTGCTCAAAAGTTGTCCTTTTTTTCCAATTTGCGTTTGAATATCTACATTTATTCTCATTCTTCTGTTTAATGGAATGCACAAACACAGCAGCGTGCCATCAAAGATGGCGTCTCCGAGGAGGTCATGTGACATTCATTGGTCTGTGGGAACTATGTATAAATACACCGCTGCAGAAAACAGTCCGCGTCTCCCCTCTCCTCTAAATTAAAGCTCGGGTACCTACATTTTCTATTGCATTAAAAGTTCATGTTTGAGCCCAAAAGTAAAATGTTGTGAACAGATTAAACAGATTTAGAGCCAGCTAATGGCTGACA